AAAACTTCCAGAACACGGCCACACACCCTGGAAGACCCACACCAGCCATCGTATGCCGGCCGTGAAAGCCTTCGACAATACATTGAACGCTATTTTGGATTCCTACTTAAATCCCAAATGAAGACTTGAACTTGCAATTGTTTCAGTCTAAATTCTCGTTTCAATCAACTGAAGGATCATTCTAAGTTATCTTACGAAAAAGGCTTGTTTTAACAGAAACGATGGCAGTAAAAACATGTTAGGGAGCTAAGATAATAAGGGGAGAAGGCCAAATAGAAGCTACATGTGTCTTGTTCTTCCAACATTTCTATTCTCAATATAAAAGATGAGATTTATGAAACAAAATATGTTATCACCATGTAATCATCACTTCATGGAGATATTCTGCATTTGAAAAATACACAGATTCTTCTACACCTTTATAAGTACCTTGGCAACTCTGCATCCAGCTTCAAGGATACTTCCTCTAGCTTCCTCATGACATTTAGCGCTTTGGCATTTTCTTCAAAGTTCTGTAGTAGAGCTTCATTCAAAACGTTCTGAGTCATAGCCAAGCTCTTCTGCAAATCAGCTATCTCATAAAAGTCAAAAGATGCAGCTGTTAGCTCACACAACATACAGTGGTGATAATAATCAAACTTGGCTGCCTTGTTTAAACTGGCTGCCTTGTGAAGGATAACTTTCCTACTCAATAAGATTTGCCTCCATGTAATCCAGTGGGAAAACTTTTTCCTTTCAGGCCGTTAAAAATATGTTTTATTTGTCAAATATTTGTAAAATATCTAAGATAACTCATACTACTGTATAATACTATATCTTAGATAATATCAAAGATAACTCATACTATTGTATAGTATAACAGCAGTAAAAGACGCAGATAAGGTAAACTCCAACAGGGGCTCCTGAAGTAAAGATTTTTTATTATAGAGGAATCATCACTGGAAAGGCACTTATAACACATACATATTTATCACCGAGCACTTTTGCATGCAAAAGGCTCCAGACTAGCTTCTTTAAACAGGAAGCACCAGGCAAAATACAAGTTAAGAATTGAAGGTAAACTACAGAGAATCACTTTCTATATTCATATGCACATTAACACATGATTTGATTAACCATGGGTATCCAAATTAACTTAATTGCCTAAGGCCATAGTACTCCAAACCACAAACTAACCACGCTGGCTCCGCTCATAAAATACACTGAGCCGCAAGCTACCAAACTACGTTTCAGCCCAGTGTGTTCCCAACTCTAGGAGCAAGATAAAAAATAACCTAACTTAGTATAAAGCTGTTTCCTATTATTCATGCAGGTGGGCATATAAGTGTCCAAAACTATCTTGAAAGGTGCAATTTCAGTTATTTGAAAATTCATAAGCAGTATCTACTGAGATTTCAAAAGACAGGAAATTTTGAGGGTGGGGCTTACCGCCACAAAAATCTCTCTGTATTGACTAACGGAAACAGAATGACTTATTCAATTCAGACATAAGATTTTGATGGGTTGTATAATGTATAAACTTTTACAAAGTTTCATGTCCCTTTCTGCAAAACTGGATTGTCGAGAGGCTCAAAATTTCTGTTAGCATGAGGCTCACTACCACCTAAGCAATAAAATATGGTAAGTCACCAGATAGTAGAATTCAAGATGCACATGCATTCATACATGTACAGGACCCATTCAAAAACTTCTCCAATACAAAAGCATTTCTCAAAAGACCACCAATCAGCTGCCAGGGCTTATCCATGAGCCACAGAATGCCCATCTATTTAATAACAGATATATCATTATGGCATTTCCGTACCTAGATACTGGCCCATGTTTTCTTCTACATAGATATCCTTCAGGGGCAGTTCATGCCTTGTTGTGTCCAGGGCTGTGGCAAAGTGCTTATACTCCTCCCTAAACTGTGCACATTGTTCAGAAACAGGTCCAAGTATTTCAAGCTGGAAACCAAGTGTATGGAGCAGGGAAGAAAGATAGATCATGCAAATTAGTCATAGGAGGCAAATGAAACTAAAACTATGTATAGTTCTCTACAATACTTTTCAACAACAAATTTCATTACAACTGAACAGGTAGTCCTCAACCTAGTACCATTCGTTCAGTGACTGTACAAAGTTATGACGGCACTGAATGAATGGTAGTTACGACCAGTCCTCAGAGTTCTGTCTGTCCCAGCACCCCCATAGTCACGTAATTGTGATCTGGGTGCTTGGCAACCAGTTCACACTTACAACTGGTTGCAGCACCCTGCGATCATGTGATTGCCATTTGCAACCTTCCTTGCTGGCTTCCCCAGAACGTCAACAGGGAAGCTGGCAGGGAAAGTTGCAAGTTGCTGTGTAAGTCCCCCCTACCCACACATCTTCCCCCAGCCCCTCTGCACTCGTGCTGCGCCAGCCATTTGTGCACCCTCCCTGACCCTTGCTGCGTCTCTCACGCACACCCTCCCTGACCTGTGCCTCTCATGCAACCCTCACACACCCTTCCCAACCCATGCCTCTCACACACACCCTTGCACTGTCCTCCACCTGGCAGCAGCCACTTACCTGCCTGCCGGCTTCCCCACTGACTTGATTGTGGGAAGCTGGCAGGCACCACGGCAGGGAGGGCCTTCTCTGCCGTGGTGCCCGCCTTGTGGAATCTTCTCCCCCCAGAAGTCAGATTAGCTCCATCCCTCTTAACATTCTGCAACTCCCTCAAGACCTGGCTATGTGATCGGGCCTGGAGCTCTCAGGGGACCAGGGAGATTTTATGATGGCTCCCTTATTAATTTTATCCCCTTCTATTCTGTGTGTTTTTACAGTTTTTTGTGTGCAATTGTTTTTATGTATTTTTTTTTAATTCTTGTACGCTGCCCAGAGTCACCTTGTGTGAGATGGGTGGCTATATAAATATGATAAATAAATAAATAAGTTGCCTCTGTATTTTTTTTTAATTCTTGTACGCTGCCCAGAGTCACCTTGTGTGAGATGGGTGGCTATATAAATATGATAAATAAATAAATAAGTTGCCTCTGTATTTTTTTTTAATTCTTGTACGCTGCCCAGAGTCACCTTGTGTGAGATGGGTGGCTATATAAATATGATAAATAAATAAATAAGTTGCCTCACCAAACAACTGTGTGATTCAGTTAACGACAGCAACCAGGACTGCAGGAATTGGTGTCGCTAAGCAATGCTGTTGCACTTTACGACCACAATTCTTCCGGTCCCAATTGTCATAAGTTGAGGACTGCCTGTAATAGCAGGGAAAAAGTACCTTGCCTATTGCTTCAGCAGCAAGAACATCTCCCTACTTACTGAGTGAATACTAGTTTTCATAATAGCTATGATCATGCTATGATGTGTAGTGTTTTCAGTTTTCCTGAGAGAACACTTCATGTTTAATCACCGTGTTTGCTTTAAATAGTCATAGAATCAGAGGTAGAACCAAGGTCATTTAGCCGAACCTACCATTGAGTGCAGGATCAGCAATGTAAAATGTCTGAACAGAAAGTAACCTTTGTAAAAAGAGAGTGTTTATTTACTATATGACTCAGGGTCAGCTTAATGAAAAAAATCATGCTAGAATGATCTGTTCATTTGCAAACATGACTAATGAAAGGAGTTGTGCCAGAACAGGAAGACACTTCATTCCAGACCATCAAAGATGAGCATAGAATGGCAGAGAACATAAAAGATCAAAATGATCAAAAACCAAAACACTAATTCTGATAAAAATTTTATGGAATATTGTTATCTGAAGATACTGTTCCAGAGATCAAAAGAAAACAAGTTGATTCAATGTCTCCCTTCCAAACAGGGAATAAAATGGTAATAATGTCTAGATAAGATTTATTAAAAATTGCTGATCAGAGTCCAGCACACTGTTCTGCTGAATAGTTAGTACAAGGACCAAAAATGGATAATTCAATTCTTCATTCAGCTCCATTTTCAACTTTCTCTTCAACAATATACTCACTCCTAACATCTTCTCATCAGTTTTTATCTCAGCAGGTGAGAAGCATGACTGGTCAACAGTTCTTCTTACACCTGCACCCATCAGTAAATCCCCATACAGACTCTATTTTAATCATTCTTAAGTAAGAACAATTAGAGACAAAATTCAGGATTATAAATCTAATTTTCTATTATGTGTTTAACCTGTAACCGAACAAAAGCAATTATTACAAGTTGTGTTTTGCTGGTGTGAGATGCCTGAGTGAGAACTGGGAGGGAAGACTGAAGTATCCAGAAAAGATGATTGAGCCAGAGATATGCATAAATTCTGGACATTAGGATCCAAAGACTGAGGATAATAAAATGCACTGGGGTGGGGAAGGTGTGCAATAAACGCTGTGACACAAACCACTTCTGGTCAGATATCAGTGGTGACTTGCATACCCAACTCTACAGCGTAAACTACTTCGCAGAAGTAGTCTTGGGGCCTTCCCTCCTGTGGCAAATTGCATTTAAACAAGCACAAGAGTAGGAACACTGTGTGGAGTAGAGGGGTACCAATGAATGGTGAGATTCAATAGTTCAGTTGCCATTCTGAATTGACTTTCTGTGCTCAACCTTTCCTGTACTAACCTGAACACACATCCTCTCTAGAACAAAAGGATAAGACATATTCCTAGTAGCCCCAATTAAGACACAGATACTTTGTTTTTACTCCAATTGAGAAAGCAGAACAATAAATTGTAGAGCAGTTTGTGCTGGAACTGAGAGGTATATTAAAGAGACAGTTGTAGAATCTACAGGCATACAAAACTGTTATTGAAACGCACCCTGTTGCCTTTTGTGGTTAGTGTGGTTACTGGAGACAAAGATCTTAAATTGGCTTAGGGCAATGACCTTGTCTCTACTGGCAGGGTAGAATGGGAACTGAAACCTAGCACATCTGGAGGTCTCCAGGATGAGAAAGGTTGAACTAGTTTATCTCAGTGTTTAGCCAAAAATCTGTTTTCATTCAGATTTCATCTACTGGTTCACATTAGCCTTCTGAAATAAAACAGAACATGATTGTTCCATCTTTTGCACAGTACCCTGCATGTATTTCAAACCTGGGCAATAACATTTCTTCTTAGGCTGAACATTTCTCCATCTCTTTTAATTGTTACTTGTAAAACTGGGTCCCCAACTGATATATTTTATAGTGTATTTTATTATTGTTACTTGCTGTGGTAAGGTATGTGGATCTCCATCTTTTATGCAAAGGTGGTTTATAAAAACAATAACTGGCTGCATCTCCTTGAGTTCTATAATGGCCCATACTGTAACTCAGTTTGCTTGCAGAAGCCATGGACTATCAGACCACAGAGTTCAGAAGAGCTCCCTGATACCTATACCCGTTTTTTCTGCCCACGCAAGAACACTTGGAAATCAGCTCAGCCCCAAGTTATTTAAAACTTATCCTATTATTCAACTAACCTTACTCCAGTTTTTTGCTTCCACTCTCCTGTCTTACAGGCCTATTTTTAGTTTTGTTCTAAATTTAGATCTGTACAGGTGGTCCTCATTTAATGACCACTCATTCAGCAACTGTTCGAACTTACAATGACACTGAACAAGTGGTAGTTACAACCATACTTCATACTTACGGACATCATAGCATCCCACGGCCACATGATTGCAAGTTGTGACCTTCCCTGCTGGCTTCCAACAAGCAAGGTCAATGGGGAAGCCAGTAAGAAGTCACAAATCGCAGCCATGTGAAGTCCTTGCTGAACAACAGCAACTGGAATTGCCATTGCCAAGCAGCACAGTCATATGATTTTTCAACTTATGACTGTGTTGCTTAATGATGGAGTTTCTGGTCCCTATTAGCATAGGACTACCTGTATATATATTTTGATTTAGCTATAGCACCAATTTAGTAAAAGCCCTCAAATAATAACGAAAAAAACTAAAAAATAATGAACTGACAGAAGTCCGGAATAAGAAAAAAAAAGGGAGATACCTGTATTTGTTATGCTTGCAGTATAATGCAAGGATGTATTATCTATCCATTTATAGAAAAGTAACTTGATTAGAAATGCTTTGTATACTTCCCAAATCCAAGCTTTGCTTAAGAAGCTATTGGTAGATATTTGGTAGACATTTTAAATTAATTTTGATGTTTTCAATCTATTCCACATATATTATGTAAAACTAAGCAAACCTGTCTCTCTAGTGCTTCAGAAAGCTCAGTCTCTTTCTTCAGATGCTGCAGCTTATGCTTCTTTTCATGTGCATTCCTCTGAAGTTTCCCCACTTCCTCACAGAGCATTAACAAGTTTCTTTCAGCTTTCCCCTCCAGAAGGGCAAGGTTTTTCTCCATCTGTTACAATAGAGCATCTCTAGATTCAAAACTATGTCAAGGTATTTCCAAAAAAATGTGTTTAATTTTTCTTTAAAGAAGTCTTGTACTTAGGCAGTTGACTTATTACCTTTATGGAGGCATAAGTTAACAGCAGCATCTGAGAGTCCAGCATCCCAATCAGATCATCTGAATCAGAGGATATCTAATAAGGAAGCAGAGATATTCATTGAAGTGCGTAGACAAAAAAGTGGTCACACAACAGGACTGTGACTATTTCCCAATGGCTCCAGAGAAGGAAACTCAGGTTAACCCATGGTAGATATGCCATTACTGATTTTTCAGGAATAGGAAGATTATCAAAAGACGTTTTAGCCTAAGAAACCAGCCTTTTCATACTGTTTCCCCTATTCTCCCTTACTGCTGTATCACTTAATGTAGCATGCCCTTGCCCACTCTGGGTTCAATATTCCCCCTCAAAATTTGAGGGTTTTCTTGTTAGAGATACTGAATAATCATCCTTGGTTAGAATCTGGAGTTAATGTGATCTCAGAAATGTAATGGTAGAGTACATGCTTTGTATGCAAAACCGCCTATATTTAACCCCTCCATCTCTAGATAAGGCTGAAAAAATTATCTCTGAAATCTGAAAAGCTTCTGCTAGTCAGGTACGTGACGCTGAGCTGGATTAAGTACTCATTTTATTTGGCAAGAAAAGAAAAGGCCTGCTAAGTTCCTAGCTCACTTGGCTCAATTTTAACTCCATAGCCTGATCTCCTTCCTTTCTGCCTGTTACTCCTTGCAGACATGCTCATCAACTCCTGGGCACAGAGAATGGTGATATGTTTGTTACACAAAAATCAGTAAAATACTTTGGATATTATTGGTCCATTTGTCATAACAAATTTATACAGCCTTTAAGCATACAACCTGAAATATGACATTAATTTTATTAAATCTTATTTTTCCAGCAGTCAGAGGAACAATACTTAAATATTTAGAGAGACATAAAATTCATAAAGCACAGTGAATGTGGCTTACATGTCTTTATTAATTCTTTTGATCAATATGGACATTGTAGTGATCATACTATTTTAAAAAGTAGTAAGTCTGATATAGTTCTCCTTTTTCAATATGCACCAGAGGCTAAAATACCTGGTCACCATTTACATGGCCCACTGAGACACACCAAAGGCCTATTCAGCCTAATAAGTGAATATCCCAGAGCAGCTGGTTTCGGGAAGACTATTACTATTGTTTATCAACATTATAACAAGGTAGCCTCTATTAATTTGACATTTCCCCTTTTATTTATTAGATTCATAGGTTGCTTGACTCCATTATGATTCTGGGTAGTATACAATATGAAACAATGTAAATCAGTGACAAACAAAACTCAGGAAAGAACAAGGCACAACAACAGAATCCAATAAACCAATCATCCTATAATGGGTCTGCTACATACTCTAGCCCAGGGTTCTTCAACTTTGGCGACTTGAAGATGTGTGGACTTCAACTCCCAGAATTCCAGCATGGCTGGCTGGGGAATTCTGGGAGTTGAAGTCCACACATCTTCAAGTCACCAAAGTTGAGGAACCCTGCTCTAGCCCAAGTCCTGAGGAAGAGCCAAGTTTTAAGGGCTCATTGAGGTCAGGGTAGAGACCAAACAGATCTTTGGGGGAATGTCATTCCAGAAGGCAGATGACATGACAGAGAAGGCCTGCTTCTTGGGTCCTATCAGGTATCACTGTTTGATCAATGGAACCCAAAGCATGGCAGAAACTATGGAAGATTGATAGTCTCTCATATAACCTCACCCTATGCCATGTTATAGGTGATAACCAGCACCTTTTTGCACATACTAGTAACCGGTGCAGCTCACAAAACAGAGGTGTTACACAGGTATATTGTGGCATGTCCATGCTGCTGCATTCTGGGGCAGCTGCAACTTCCAAATGGTCTTCAAGGCAGCCCCTTATACAGCACATTGCAATAGTCCAAACCCAACTAAGCATCTAGGTTAATGGCCAACATATACCTGCTGCAGCAATATTTCTCCTCACGAACTATATAGAATAAATGCCTCATATGGCACTGAGTAACTGAAGGAGTCTCTAGAAGAACAATGTGAAATGTCTGCCATTATCACAAACACAGTAGTTGGCATATGAAAGCAGAGCCCCAAGAAAGAATTCTTCTGATTCCTGCACCAAGAGCTGCAATAGGAAGTCTTGGAACATGGTCCCTATTGCTCAGAATTATTCATTCAAGGTTCACTTTGCAGCAAACAATTAAGTTGCTTTACTTACCGAGATCTGCTTTTTTTTGGAAGAGCCTTTTATATTGAGCTTTGAAACTGGTGTCTTATAGTGGCTTTTTTCTAAAAATAAAAAGGCAGTCAAAGACAGATGAATATAAAGGAATGAGGTCAGTTACCTGTGTCCTAATATTTTTCAGCTACTTACTGAGAATCTATGGGGAGAAATTTTTGCCTTAAAAATGTTGAAGGGTGCCTTATAGTAAACAGGATCTTTGGCATTTTAACAACATGGAGGGAATTCCAACAGGCACTCATATTCCATGTTGTTCAGTAGGCTGTGCTTACAGAAATCCTTTCACCATAACTTTTTAAAAAAGGCATAGGAACCATCAAATCTTTCAGAAAAAAACAGGAAGATGGAGATATATTTAAAAAGAAAGGATATGAACTGGATTCCATATTGCCAATTGTAGTTAAAGGCAAAACTCAGGGATGCAAAGTCATGTTAGTTTTACCAGCAGTCCCCCAGAGTGGCTAAGTAAGAAAAACAAATATTAATTGATCCAAACAGCTCATTTAGATTTGATCTACATAGCACCATTCAGTTTAAAGAATCTTGCTACATTAAAACATGTAATCTTGAGTGCCTACAATTCAATTTAAAAATAGATTTCTGCAGGACTTTTGCAGTAAAATCATAAGCCTATCTTATCTGCAACTATGCTTACATTCAAGTATACAGCTTAAAAGCACACGTACCATTAATAGCCGAAACCTCCAATTCAGGTCGAGAACTCTCATGGCTGTCCAGAAAAGTTGACTGTAATACACCAGGCGTAATTTCTGCAGAAAAAGGGCGAAGAAAAGGTTTTTTTCCCCAGCTGGGATTCTGATTAATTTAACTAGACCAAGGTAGGGAACCTATTTTCAACCAAAGGGTTGAACTGACTCCAAGAAAGTTGGGGGGTCGCATCCCAGCAGTGGATTAGCTACTGACTCAAGTGGACGTTGACACCCTACTGCACCATATGACTTTTAATACAATTTTTCATACCTATCCCCACATTCTGTCTTTCTTTCTCAGGCACACATATCCATTAGTATCTATTTTAATAGAGACTAGACTACAGTGGTACCTCTAATTATGAACTTAATCCGTTCTGTGATTCTGATCGCTAGTCGAGTTGGTCGCAAGTCGAAGTAAATTTTCCCATAAGGTTCAATATAATTACCGTTAATCCATTCCGGTGTCCGCGGACCACGCGTCAGGGGCGGAAAAACGACCACTGACCACGCGGCAGGGCGGAAAAACGGCCGCGGACCATGTGGAACGGGCAGAAAATGGCTGCGGACCACGTGGCACGGGCGGAAAATGGCCGTGGACCACGTGGCACGGGTGGAAAAATGGCCGCGGACCACGTGGAACGGGAGGAAAAATGGCCGTGGACCACGTGGAACGGGAGGAAAAATGGCCGCGGACCACGTGGAACGGGAGGAAAAATGGCCGTGGACCACGTGGAACGGGAGGAAAAATGGCCGCGGACCACGTGGAAC